CAACAAGGTGCAGGGCTGGATGAACACAGCAGGCCAAGCAGCATCATGCTGCTTGGAGCCTTTCTGCTCCTATGATGCTGCTTGGAGCCTTTCTGCTCCTATGATGCTGCTTGGCCTGCTGTGTTCATCCAGCCCTGCACCTTGTTGTCTCGGATTCTCCAGCATCTGCAGTTCCTACTATCTCTGATGGAAATAAATGAACTGTGTTGTCTGATTTTTGTATGGAACCTGGTGAGGTTGAGGCAGTGAAAGAGCTGAATTCTCCAATGTCTGATGGACTGGCATTTGCCCTCTGAAGGATAGTCTTTGGGCTCAGTTACTGACAGGGAGAACACTCTCAACCACACCAGGCAAGACACAGTCTCACCTATCATTCTGTACATTTCGATCTGATCCATCAATCTTGTCATGTCTGCAGCAAGCATCAACTCATGCATCGATGTCCCGTCACCCAGGTAATGCTCTATCCTAGAATATAGCCATTTTTGTAATTTCTCCCTGACTCCCTGAAGCCCTAGCTGCAATTGAACCAAACACGGAAACCCCTGAAACTGTCAATGCTGTCTCAGGAAATGCTCTGATTTTCAATGACGAAATTGTCATCCTTATGCTCACCACATGTAGACATTTCTTCAAGAACATAATATCTCTGTGACCAGTCATCCCCTCTTGTATGTATCGATTTTGTCTGTCAATATCAGATAGCCTGGTAATGAATGACTGGACATTGAAGTCAGGTCTTTATTCATTGATCACCTCGTGGTATTAGCACTAGATTGTTAATCCAGAAACTCGGTTAATATTGTACGGACCCGGCTTTGAATAATGCCATAGCAGAATTTGAATTCAATAAAAGAAATCTGGAATTAAGAATCTACTGATGACTATGAGACCACTGTCGATTGTTGGAAAGCTCATGGATGTCCTTCAGGGAAGGAAATCTGCCGTCCTTACCTGGTCTGGCCTACGTGTGATTCCAGACCCACAGCTGATTCACAGTTGCCCTCTGAAATGGCCTAGCAAGCTACTCAGTTGTATCAATCACAATGAAGTCTCAAAAAAAAAATGAAACCAAATGGCTCACCTGGCAAGAACCTAGATCAATGGCAGAAACAGCCCTGTTGATCCTGCAAACTCCTCTTTACTAGCATTTGGTGTCTGGTGCCAAAAGTGGGAGAGCTGTCTACCAGAGTATTCAAGCAACAGATTAACATAGCCATATTCATGGAATCATATCTCACAGATAATGTCCCAAACACAACAATCACCATACCTGGATATTTCCTTTACCACCGGCAGGACAGGCCCAGCAGAGGCGATGGCACAGTGGTATACTTGAAAGGGAATTTCTCTGGGAAGCCTCAACCTTGCCACCTGACCCTATGGAATTTCATGGCTTTAGATTAAACATGGGCAAGGAAACCTCCTGCTGATTAATATTTTCCGTCCTCCGTCATCTGATGAATCAGTAGTCCTCCATGTTGAACAACACTTGGAGGAAGAAATGAGGGTGGCAAAGGCACAAAATGAGGGGGCTGTCAATGTCAACAAACAAGTGTGGCTCAGCAGTAGCATTATTGATTGAGCTGGTCAGGCCCTTATCGACATAACTGCCAGAACTGGGTGTGTAACATGTGTTGAGTGAACCAAGGAAGGAAAAATATACTTGACCTCATCCTTACGAATCTGTATGCAGATACATCTGTCCATGACAATACCAGTAAGAGTGACCACTGTACAGTTTTTGTGGCGATGAGATCCCACCTTCACATTGAGAATACCCTCCATTGTGCTGTATGTGGCACCATTACCATGTTAAATGGGACAGACTTCAAACAGATCTAATAACTCCATTAGGCACCGTGGACCGTCAACAGCAACAGAATTTTACTCAAGCACAATGTTTGACCTCATGGCCTTGCATATCCCTCATTCAGCCATTACCATCAAGCCTGGGGATCAACCCTGCCCTGTTGATCCTGCAAACTCCTCTTTACTAACATTTGGTGTCTGGTGCCAAAAGTGGGAGAGCTGTCTACCAGAGTATTCAAGTAACAGATTAACATAGCCATATTCATGGAATCATATCTGACAGACAATGTCCCAAACACAACAATCACCATACCTGGATATTTCCTTTACCACCGGCAGGAACAGGCCCAGCAGAGGTGGTATACTGTTTGGAAGGGAGAGTGCAGGAAAGTATGCAATAGCAGCACTTTACAGACCTAAAAATGAGTTGTCAAGCTGGTAAACTGACCAAACAGGACTATTTATGTGCCAAGCAGTATAAACATCAAGTAATTGTTGGAGCTAAGTGATCCCCCTATCAATGGATCACATGAAAGCTCTGCAGTCCTGTCATATCGAGTCATGAATTGTGGTGGACAGTTGAACAACCACTGGAGGAGGAGTCTCCACAAATATCCAAATCCTCAATGATGGAAGAGCACAATACATCAGTGCATTAGGTAAGGCTGAAACACTTGGCAGCAATCTTCAGCCACTGGTGCCAAGTGGATGATCCATCTCGGTCTCTTCCAATGGTTCGAGCATGACAAATACCAGTCTTCAACCAATTTGATTCATTCTGTTGATTGGAGGCAGGGGATACTGCAAGGTCCAGGGGCCCCGAATCCACTCTGACAATAGTGCTGAAGACTTGTGTTTCAGGTCTTGCTGGTCCCCTCGCCAAGCTCTTCCAGTTACAATGCTGGCATCCACCCAACAATGTGGAAAATTGCCCAGATCTGTCCTGTAGGACAAATGTAACCCAGTGAATTACTGTCCCACCAGTCTGCTCTCAATCATCAGTAAAGTGATGGAAGATGTCAACAACTGTATAATCATGCAGCACCTGCTTAGCAATAATCTGCTTAGTGATGCCCAGTTTGGGTTCTGCCAGGGCCACTCATCTCCTGACACCATTACAGCATAGGGTCAAAACATGGGCCAAAGATCTGAATTCCAGAATTAAGGTGAGAGTGACTGTCTTTGACATCAATGCCACATTTGACCGTGTGGCATCAAGAAGCCAATAAGAATTGGGGGCAAATGCTCTGCTAGTTGGAGTCTTACCTGGCATGTAGGAAGATAATTTGGTTATTGGCAGTCAGTCATCTCAGCTCCTGCAGGAATTCCTCAGGATAGTGCCCTAGGCCTAACCAACTTTAGCTGCTTCATCATTGACCTCCCTTGATATGGCTCCATGCGTGGGGAGGTGGGCGTGTGGTTTGGGGGTGTTGGGAATATTGTTGTCATGTTTGGTAACGGTTACCCTTCTTGCACTTGAATTGATACCCTAAATGAGGAATGCCATGATTGCTGAGTACTTCCTGCAATGAACTGTTTTACTGTATTTATCAATAATTTTTGAATAAGGTTTGCAAAAAAAAAACCTTGTTGAGTGACCTACAAAAAATGTACTTGGCAGATTATTGACTTAGTGAATGAGACTCTATTGTCTGTCTGAAATGTAGTGGTCTTTCAATGCAAGGAGTTGGCCTTAACAGAGTGTTGTGAAACTGTCAAATTCCAAGTTCTAGGACTATGTGCTGAGGGAAATGCTAAAGTTTGGGACCGAGGTGCTGGAAAATGTGTTCCTCCAAAAATGTATGTGGTAAATCAAGAGCATAGAAAATGTAATGAGGCGCCATAAAGTGAAACATGCCCAGAAAACTTTATTTCAATTGACCAATTTGGATTGTTTTCCTGCAGGCTGTGTACCTGACATAGAGTACATTTGCTAAATATAATTTGCTAATACTAAATATAATTTGCTAAATATGAAACTATTACAAGTCGTTTTTTTTCTTGCAAGTCTTTCAAATTTCATTTTGAAACATTTTTTTGGAATGTTTTTATTTCCAAACTTCATGACTAAAGTGTGAGAAACAATGTTTGATCTCCCAAGATGAGGCTATCCCATTGCACTTTGGGTGCACTGAAGCCTGCAAAGTGCTCAAATACAGGACACTCACGTGCAACATTTGTGGTCATGGGAATGGTACTGACACTCTCCTCTGACTTATGTGTGATAAATAGATTTAAGAATTGTTGCAATAGAAGGTGATTTCCTCCAAAAGATGCTATTGGTAAAAGACTGGATTCATTAAATTGCCTAGCTCTTTCTGCATTTCATCTGGTAACCAACCAAATGCGAATATCTGGGCAAAGAAAATTCTTTCCATTTCTTCAACAGCTAACTCATATATTCATGTCTGGTCCACTGCAGCTACATGAATTCGAAAACAACTTTCTGATTCACCACTTTGCGAAATGCAACCACACAAGCTCACTCACAGAGATGGAAGGACAAGGAAAGTCATCTCTTGGTTTTAGTGAGCTTATTTCGTAGAATCCCTGGCCAAGCCAGATGACCTACACATCTTTGGACTGTGGGAGCAAACAAAAGCAAACGCACACAGACTCCACAGAGGCAGTCCCCAAAAGCTACAATTGAACCTGCATCAGAGGAGCAGGTAAGTTGACGTTTTGAGTTGGGACCTTCTTCAGAAATGGGTTTTCAAGGTGGGTAACCTTGGAAGAGGCTTCTCAGTGGGGTTATAACTCACTCAGAGATAGCAAGAACTGCAGATACTGGAGTCAGAGGCAACACAATCTGGAGTTGGAGGAATTCAGTCGGTTAGGCAGCATCGGAGGAGCAGGAAAGTTTATGTTTTGGGTCGGGAACCTGCTTCAGACCTGAAGCGTCAACTTTCCTGCTCCTCTGATGCTGCCTGCCCTGCTGTTTTCCTCCAGCTCCACGCTGTGTTGTCTCTGATTTCAGCGTCTGCAGTTCTTGTTATCTCTACAAATGAACCTGGTTCTGCAAAGCAGCAGTGCTCACCACTATGCCACTTTGCAGTCTGAAGCGAAGGCGTATAGTATAGAAACCAGGTGCAGGACGAAGCCATTCAGCCTTTCAATACTGCTGCTCTATTCAGTATGATCACAGCTGGTCCCCTTTCTCATATTTCAATTTCCATCCATATTCATTTACCTCTTTAAAATCTAAACACTTATCATTTTTTTGTTTGAATCTACTCATAGCCTCCGTGATAGCGAATTCCACAGATTGACCACCCTCTCAGTGAAGTAATATTTCCTTTTCCCAGTCCAAAATGGCCTAATCCCTATCCCGAGACCTTGGGTCCAGACTCCCCAACCAGGGGCAGTCTTTCGTTTGTCTCGTCCTGTTAGAATTTTATATGTTTCAATGATATCATATTTATTATTTCTCAAACCTACAAAATACAGATACAGCCTGATCAATTCCTTTTGCAGTCCTGCCATCCCTGGTACCAGCCTAGTGAAGCTATGCTGCACTTCCTCTATGACAAATAAGTGGAGAGGCAAAAACTGCACACAGTCCTCCAGCTGTAGATTTATCAAGACCCTGTATAACTTCAGCAAGATTTCCTTACGACTGAACTCAAATACTCTTGCAATGAAGGCCAATATACCATTTGCCTGCTAATTTGCTTGCTGCCCCTGCATGTTTGCTTGCATTGACTGGTGTACAAGGACACCCAGTTCCCTTTGTGCATCCACGTTCACGAGGGACAGTCAAAGATCAGTTGCAATCGTTAAGAATTGATTTGCTGGAGTGGCAACAAAGCGATATTTGGACTTTTAAATTTGAATGTATTTTCTTGCACTATTGAATTCTTGATCGTTTCACATTTTTCTCTGCAATACTGTAGAGCCACCAGCAGACGGTCACATTGTACAAATTTAATCACGAGATAAACAGGTTTGAGCATGACAGAATTTCAAATTTATGACATTTATTCACGTCAACGAATAATCCACCAGAGTAGCAATCATCTTGTTTCTGAAATTACTTCAATCTTTTCACTCCCGATGCTAACTTAGGACCTGAAATGATCTTTCATGTTTTTATTTCTGTAATGATACTTCAGTTTGAATTGTTTATCCAATTTCCTCTTGATGGTTAATATTAACAGCATCAGTGTGTACACGTAGTAAGTGAGAGGGACAGGGGAATGAGGCCCTCCATCATTTCGAGCTCTGACCGTCTGTTTCCTCAGGTCCCGCACAGACAGCAGCAGCTCGTTCAAACTGTGTGTGAGTGGGCAGCGCAGAAAACTATAATTAGATAGATGAGGCTGGCTTCGGTGAAGCTTTTCAGCGTCTGGTTTTACTCAATATTTGTGCATTATCCGTTACCTGTTCTGCCGTTTAATGTACGTTTTTTTTAAAAAGAAAATCCCTTTAAAAAACATTGAATATTTGGTTTGTAATGCATATTGTCTTTCTAACCTGTTTGTAAATGTATTGAAATAGCGCAGAGTGGCACAGAATGTACTAAAAGAAATGTGACTGTTACAATTTTGTGCAACGCCAGTTTTGAGACCCCATTTACTAATATATTTTATGGATTAAAAAGTAAAACTTCAGAGTGACACAGAATGTACTTAAAGAAATATAACTCTTACAATTTTTGCAAAGCCGGTTTGGAGATACTATTTGCTAATATATTTTATGGATTAAAAAGTAAAATTTGCAGGAAAAATACTTTCCACAACTTGAAACATACGACGAGGGTGCCACACATCAGTTGCTGCAGGACTGTCTCCCTGCAGCAAATTGCAAATACACTGCCTGCCGAAGATGGAGTTTTGGTGAAGAGATTACAATAAGCTCCAAAGTACAGAAAAGGTGGAAGTATGTGTCACTGTACACTCAAGGTCTACATATGATTTAGAGAGGATGAAAGTAAATGAAATATCATCAGAAATTTTGAGGTCGATAGGACTCAAGGACTTCCTCCACAAATCCTGCATATGAATCATGGAACTCGGAGCTCAGTAACACGCCACTACTTCCAGCATTCAAACTCAGGACTGCCGGACAAAAGATCTTTTTCTAGCTTATTGTCCACTCACTTCAAAACTTTTCATCGAAAGGAGAAAATCAATTATTATTTCCAAGTATCGTTCGAATGAATAAGAAATGCAAAGGGGGAGACTAAGAGCACAATATAGACTGAGCAGAAAAGACTGGATCTTGGCAGGTGTCTCAGTTGCTGACGAGAGTTTGCGTCGGAGAGACGGCAGGATAGCTGCAGACACATGAGGACAGGAAGTTCATTGACAGTCCCAGGAGATGGAAGAAATATCTACAATATGTACCTCGAGTTCATCGTAAATTGAATCTGAGAGGATCATCGAAGCACTACAGTGCGGACAGAGAGGCCATTCGGCCCATCCGAATCTCCGAAGAGAGTCCCACCTGTTGAACACAGCAGCTCCACATCCATCTATCCATCTCAAACTGATAAATAATTCCAATAAACGCCGAGTATCTACTCCTGTATTCAAAGGCCACCCAAGTGCAAATCGACTTGCAATCGATCAGTCTGCGCTTCTGGACCAGGGCCTGTGAATAATGCCTGCCAGAAATACAATCAAAATACTGAGATGTTGAGAATTTGAATTGAATCTGAGAAAACACGGTAATGCTCAGCAGGTCAGAGAACATTAGTGGAGAAGGGAAAGGTAATTAACACTGAAGGTATGTGATTTTGTGTCATTTTGCAGTATAACATTTATAGACTAACAAGGAGTAACGGCGGCCGCTGTCTCCACAATACACCGCGGACAGGAAACCACGCTATCTCCTGCGGTGACAAGCCCAGGCACTGATCGTGCTGATACTCCCCAAGCTGTGACGCGAACCTGACGAGAGCCGCATGCGCTCTCGCTGAGGCTGCTGTCGGCCGCGCCTTGTGCACCCGCTGAGCCACACCGCGCATGACACGTGTAATAATCCAACAATTGAATTATGCTGATCAATTGATGAAATATATATTCTTTTTAATTGTTGTCACTCTCTCACACTGTTCCCATGTGATCGCATCTTTCTGTAAGATAATGCAGCAGGATTTCTATCTGATAGGTGAAACATACCACAGGCCTGAAATGAAGAGCGAAAGTAAGTTTCTGTGGCTCAGTTTAAGGTCTACTGCCATGAAGACCGTCAGTGTTGAATGGTTTGTTTTCTGGAGCTCAGATTTCGTGGCCATTAAAGGATATTTGCTATATTTGATGTAGTATTCTCTGTTCATATTGGCCAGCAGTTAGGTTTCATCCTTGAGTTCTGTGATTCTTGTAACGTAGCTGTCATTTGCACAGTAATTTCTGAAGAAGAAAGAGCGACTGAAACAACTCCATGAAGGCCGGTATTCCGTTACCAAGTCACCCTTTATTTACAAGTGCATAGGACCGACACTGAGACAGCTGGCACAGAGCCGGTTCCAAGAACGTGCAGAACCTCCGACATTCTTGTTTATATCTGTCTGCCGCGACACGTTGATTGGAACAGGTTAACAGCCCTAATCAGGCAACTCATATTCAATGAGATCCACCTGGCTGACCTCGTTACAATCATTACAGTTACTTTTTTTCAAAGAGTACAAAAAAAGGAGAGCCCCATATATCAGTTTGGTTTTGTAAGTTTAATAACAAAATGCTGGAAATAGTTTTGTTAATAGCAATTTCTCTTCCATTTTCACATATTTGGAAATCTGTCAATTAGATGTATCCCGTTGGACTGAATTGTTTTCCTTTGAGTCGCTGAAAGGTTCACTTTGGACTTTGGAACTTTTGTTTTTAACAAGATATTTCATGGAAGGCACATGGGTTCAGACAGTGTTGGAAGTTACCTGCCTGTATTTTATGATTGCAATAGACCTAGTTTCTGGTTAAACAATGTTTTGGAGTTAGTAGTGCCGGTTTATATCCGACCTTGCGAAAAAAAAAGAAGCTCCCAACTCACCTCTCCAGTTCCTGTCAAAAAAAATCTCTTGTTACACGCGCAGCATGCCAGCTGGAAGCCTGATCAAGCTGTTCTCGTGAGTAGCCTTCGCGGGGTTTTGTCTCATTGTTTCCTGTATGACGGCGTGTGCAAAGATCTCAGATATGACCGTCAGTATTAGTGACCTGCCCACACGAGCCCAGATGTCAGAGTGACAGCCATCTGATCATTACACACATATTTTCATCTTTTCCTCTGGAAGTAAACCTTTGAGGAAAATCAGCCTTCTGCTTTCCTTGAATGTTTGTATGCGTGTGTTTCTGTATGTGCGTTTGCGTGTGTCCATTTGTGTGTCAGAGACATTGTGTCTCTGTATCTGTGTGTGTTTCTGTCTATGCATTTACGCGCTTTTGTGCATGTTTTTTTTGTGTGAGTCATTGCATGCTTTGAAGTATTTAAAATGTTGATATTTATAATTTCATATTTCAAACCTTATTAATCACCTTTACATATTCTTTTCACGATAAATGATTAACTTTGTTGTTTATTACATAAATCTGTTTGATGAATTTATCTTTTTAAACCTATTGTGGATACATTATCTCATTGGCTATATCAGTAGCTGGGGACAACGTTTAATTCAATGTTGAGACCCAGGGTGTACAGGGAGTGGAGAGTCAGAGGGCATTCCTGCCAGATTGGGCACAGTACAGGTAACTTTGAATTCCACAGTAGTAATGCAGTCCATTCAATCATAAAACTAATATGCTATCTTATAAACCAGACCTCTCTGGGAAATGCTACATGGTCATTGTTACATAGAAGCATGAACAAAAAGGAGCAGGGTTAAACAATTCAACCTTTCAGATCTGTTCCACCATTCAATATGATAATGACTGATCATTTGGATCAGCATCCTTTTGACGATTTCTTCACTTACACTGTGATCTCTTTATTCCTAAGAAGTATATATGACTCCTTTTTGAAAATTTTCAATGTTGTGGCCTCAGCCACGTTCTGTGGCAGAGAAGTCCATAGACTGATCTCTCTGTGGATGAAGAAGTTTCTCCTCATCTCAGTCCTAAATGGCCTATCCTGCATCCTTCGTCTGTGACGCCTGGTTGTGAACTTATTCGACATCTTTCTTGCCTTTACCCTATCTAGTACTTTCCTGCCAGAGGCTTCTGTGGGATCCCTCCCTATTTGTTGAAACATCAGCGAAATCTTGTCAACGATGCAGTCTCTCTTCATACATAAGTCCTGCCATCAGAGAAATCAATGTGTTAAACGTAATTGCACTCCCTTCATAGTCACGATATCCTTTTGCAGGTAAGGAAACAAAAATGGGTGCAATATTCCAGATGTGGTCTTACTAAGATCCTGTACAAGCTGAGCAAGACTTCCCTGCTCCTGTAAGCTATCACTCTCACGACAAAGGCTAATCTACATTTGCCGTCTTCACCGCCTGCTGTACCTGCATGTTTACTTTCAGTCCTTTTTGCTATCTGTCGCCATTCACGCAACAATCTGCCCTCCTTTTGTGATGACCAAAATGGTTAATCTCACATTTGTTCGCATTATACTTCATCTACCATGGATTTCTGCAATCTCCGAACTTGTCCAGGTCACACAGACAGCAGACAGATTTCAAGCATTTTAAAACAACTAAACAAAAACAGAAATTGCTGGAGAATCACATCAGGTGTGGCAACATCGTGGAGAAAGGGTTCAAAAGAAGGGTCACTAGATTCGAAAAATTTGCAATTCATTATTTTGCTTTAAAACAACTATCGTTTGATCCAATAACTTTATTACCCTGTATTCAGGTTGACGACATTGTCAATTGACATGTCTGCAGAAACCATTGTTATCAAAGCATTATGCAATGTATTTTCTGTGAATAAGTCTGTGAATAGGCGCTGTTAGATCATCGAACACATTTTAGCCTCTTAGTAGATAACCACCTTCTAAGCTAACTAACAGGAATGGCGATGCTCATTAACCATTTGGCTTCTGTTATGTCCCGAACTCTCGTCACCGTTACAGACGTGGGAACTGGAGACATTATCAGATATGGTCAGTGTTATAAATAGAGCAGAGTAGGGGTGAGATGGAGCCTGTTGAATTCAGGCTGGACCCAGAGAGGATACTGAACGGGTTATGGGATACATGTGCTGATTATTTCCCTTTTTTTTGCAGAGTTTCAAAAATTCGGATATTGTTCTGAATGGATATTTCAGTTCCTCTTGAATTTAGCCTGGGTCACTGCATAAAGGCATGTGTTTATGCAGCAGCTCAAAAGTAGGAGCATAAAGCCAGTAACATCTGTGCTCAGCACCGGGTCATTGAAATCTTTTTGATAATAATGTTTTGTAAGTTGCATTAAGAAGAAATTTATCACATATATCATCTATAAAAAGTTAAAGTTTCAAGATATAAGGAAGAATAAGATGATAAATTTCCTTCGCTTCTCCATCTCTGGATCATTCTGATCCACATCATCCTTTCTCCATCTCATCCTCCTGCGGATTCTAATAGCTGTTAACATGTATCCCACGGTCATAACATTGAGCAGCAAGATCAGAAAGGTTGGGAGCAGTGGGTTCAAACAGCGATCAAACCAGTCAAATCCGACCCATCCAGTTTCAGTGTAATGTTCCAACTTAAACTTGCAGCCCCCAGTCTATGTTGTCCATTGTAAAGTACGGCCCAAATGCAAAGCAGAAGGGAATGTTCTTGAAGCAGAACAACAGACAGACAGTTCTATAACCACAGCTGCAGTTTTCTCAGTCCAGTATCTGACCCTCAGCTTCTGGCAACAAATGATAATAAAACGATCAAAAGTGAACATAATTGTTAACCAGACAGAAATGTCGGTGGCTGCACGAACTAGCAAGTAGTTAGCAGAACAAACAGGGGTGAGGAACATAAGTGTATGTGGGAAATTAAATCATCAATCCTCCCAATTATCACAACAGTGATAAGAGTCAGTAGATCCACCGATGTCATTGCTAGCAAGTAGCGAGTGACACACCTGGAGAGATTACATTTCCCCAGCATAGCATCACAGCATTTATGACGTTAGCTGTTAAATGATAAAATAAAGCAAAAACCGGAAAATATCCATGGGATGAAAAAACGAGTCCGTTTCACAGTATTTTTGTATGAAGTGTAATTTAGTTCTGGATTTAATGATGGGATCTGAACATTACATGGATTAGAATTACACAAGTGAAGTGATGATGGCATCAATTTTCAATAGAATAAAAGGAATTTGACACATCAAAATAAGGACCTTCCCTGTAGGGCTTGAATGGTTTTGAAAAAGGAATCCCGAGAGCGTCTCCCTATATCCTGCAACTGAAATATGTGTCTTAAACATCTCAGAGACGCCAGGAAATTTCAAGCCACTTTACTATCTGCGTAAATGAACAACAAGATATGAGCCAAAAAATACTGTAAGGAAAACAGAAAAAAAAAAGAAACCTGATTTGATTAATTTAAAATACAGAGAATGAAATCACTCAATATTCTGTCGAGTCAGAGGGGTATAGAGATCTACAACACAGAAGAAGATCCATGCCTCTGTGCTGATCAAAATCAATCACCTAATTATTTTATCCTATTTTACAGCATTTGGCTCACTTGTATTTCTTGGCTTTGCAAGTTCACATCTGAAGACTTCTAAAATGTCACGAGGGTTTCTGCTTCTAACACCATTATAGGTAACAAGTTCCATATTCCGCCACCTTCTGTGTGAAAAAAGGTTTTTCCTCACATCCATCTAAACCTTCTACTCTTAACTTACATCTATCTCACTGCTCATTGATTTCTCCACTAAGGGAAGTTTATTTTTCATGTCGAGCAGATCTATGCTTATTATTATTTGATACATTTCAATCATATCCCTCTCAATATTGATTACTTTAAGGAAAACAACCTCAGTCTGTCCATCTGTCCTTACAACTGAAACTCTCCCGCTGAGGTACATCCTGGCAAATCTCCTTTTCATACTTTTCACCAGTGCAATCACATCCCTCTTATAACATGGATTCCAGAACTGCACACAATACCCTAGTTGTGGTCAAGTGATTTACAGTTTCAACGTAACCACTCTGCTGTTATAATCGTAGCCTTGGCTCATAAAGGAAAATATGCTGTATATCTTCTCAACGACATTTCCCACCTGTCCTGATACCTTAAGGGAATGGTGGGCGTGCACACCAAAGTTAATATGATCCTCGATGCTACCCGAATCTAACCGTTCATCATGTTTTCACTTGCCTT